TTTTTCACGTGCTTACATTGTTTAAACATTAATAATAATTGTAATTTTTCACGTGCTTACATTGTTTAAACATTAATAATAATTGTCATTTTCATGTGCTTACATTGTTTAAACATTAATAATAATTGTCATTTTCACATGCTTACATTGTTTAAACATTAATAATAATTGTCATTTCTATTGTTGAACAAATTCATGCATTTCAAAATTCCGTTTTCTATCACTTGTTATTTCTGAATTACTCTTTTTACCAAATAGTTTTCATCTTTACTTACTCTATAATAACATCAACAAATAAATGGACTGTTTTTCTTTTTTGCTCTAAAAGAATAAAAACGTTGGTCTTTCTTCCTACCTGGAATCAGGTGAATAAGGTTCAAACACAAAGGCAGGCAACACCTTGGAAGACCTTCCCGATGGTTCAGGTAGTCTCTTTACATACTCCATGTACTGTTGTCCTGGTTCGTAAAGCCTGCTGCTTTCACACAGTGTCTGGAACTAAACACATGGCAAACATAATGGTTAGGCCTATGTTACTTTTTATGCTGCTTTTATACAGTGTTTCGAACTTAACACATAGCAAACATAATGGTTAGATATGAGTTACTTGTTATGCTGCTTTTACACAGTGTCTGGTACTAAAACACAGTAAACGTAATGGTCAGATTTGTGTTGTTTGTTCTGCTGCTTTCATCCAATGTATAGTATTAAAACACACAAACATAATGGTCAGATTTCTGCTGCTTTCATCCAATGTCTGGTACTAAAACACAGTAAACGTAATGGTCAGATTTGTGTTGTTTGTTCTGCTGCTTTCATCCAATGTCTGGTACTAAAACACAGTAAATATAATGGTCAGATTTGTGCTGCTTTCATCCAATGTCTGGTACTAAAACACAGTAAATATAATGGTCAGATTTCTGCTGCTTTCATCCAATGTATAGTACTAAAACACAGTAAACATAATGGTCAGATTTCTGCTGCTTTCATCCAATGAATAGTACTAAAACACAGTAAACATAATGGTCAGATTTCTGCTGCTTTCATCCAATGTATTGTACTAAAACACAGTAAACATAATGGTCAGATTTGTGTTACTCATTCTGCTACTTTTACACAAATTCTGGAACTACAACATGGCAAATATGATAGTTTGATTTGTGTTCTTTTCTTCCAGTTGATAAATGTCACAGAAGTTTCAATATATCACTTCTATGGAAAATAAGCCTTAATTTACACATGTGGAATCTTCCTTGTATATCTTTAGAATTATATTAATCATTTCATTGGAATAAAGATCTACTCAGAAAATAGCAAAACCAAAACCCATCAAACAATGTCTTCATAAGTTAATACTATAATATGGGTTTACCCTATTTTTATTTACTTACACTTCTCAAGACTATGATTTAGGATTTTAAAACATAACTTGAACATCACTAAGCTCACAGCAGAGAAGCAAGATTAAGCTATACCTGAACAGGAGACGGTGCCGACATGGCGTGCTGAAGCTGGAAGTAAGACACAGTCACGGCTTTCATTGTCTGATCACAGTGGCAGATTAATTCTCGCACTTCTTCTAACACTTCCTTCTAGAAATATGAAGTGTGTTGAAATATTTTCTTAGCTTTCAAAACTAATTTATAAAAAATGAACTATTTTATCAAAATTTAAAATCTTTTGCAAGAACATGAATGGAGGTTTACATTTTTAGAAAAATGTTATTTATAATAATAATAATTTTATAATAAAGATTACTTAATACTAAAGAATTTTATATATTAATTCTGCCAGTTTATTGCCATGTACATACAGTAAGGGTCTCAAAATTAATGGCCGCAGGTTGGCTTTGTGAAAGAGCTCTTGATTTTGGAGCCAGCAAGCCAGGTTCAAATCCTTGAAATACCACAACATATTTCCTGTACTTTAAGCGAGTTATAAGAGTGACACAGACACACAACTTATATACAACAATCTGCACAGAAGATGTAAGAATAAGTTTAAGAAAGAAAAAACCACCAGATACAATGGTGGTAAAATATAGGAAACCTTTTCCTACATGTTATCAACATTAAATCTAGTGATTTTTCTATCTTTCTATAAAAGTGACAGTCAATCTCTTAGCATGTATGATGGGTATAGGTGTTGCTGATTGGCTGCTTTCCCTCCAGTCAGTAGTTCATCCCTTAGCATGTATGATGGGTATAGGTGTTGTTGACTGGCTGCTTTCCCTCCAGTCAACAGTTCAAAATTAGGGGCAAATAGTCTTAGTAGCTTTGCCATAAATACTAATAGAAAATTCTAAGCACAGATATAACATGCTGATGTCAAACATTCACATGCTAATAGAGTTTGTGCTCCAACATGCTGATGTCAAATGTTCACATGCTAATAGAGTTTGTGCTCCAACATGCTGATATGTAAACCTTCACATGCTAATACAGTTTGTGCTCCAACATGCTAATGTGTAAACATTCACATGCTAATAGAGTTTGTGCTCCAACATGCTGATGTCAAACATTCACATGCTAATAGAGTTTGTGCTCCATCATGCTGATGCCAAATGTTCACATGCTAATAGAGTTTGTGCTCCAACATGCTAATGCCAAACATTCCCATGCTAATAGAGTTTGTGCTCCATCATACTGATGCCAAATTTTCACATGCTAATAGAGTTTGTGCTCCAACATGCTGATGCCAAACGTTCACATGCTAATAGAGTTTGTGCTCTAACATGCTGATGCCAAACGTTCACATGCTAACAGAGTTTGTGCTCATGTTTTTCATTATTTTTTGAGGATACCAACACAAAAGGGCAATATGCCAAAGTTTGAGGACCAGACAAAGTAAATGAGGTTTCTGAGACAGATTTGTAATCCGGTAAGGAAAAATACACGTTCTCCAGCATTTAACAAGTCTTTATTCACAATAAACACAAAGTATAAATAAATCATGTAACTGTAAACAAACTTGAAATGATGAAGGGATTTGAAGCTCTGCCCTAGCAACCCAAAACATCATTCAAAACTTCCAAGGTGGTATACAGAAGTCAAAAACTTCCAAGGTTCAATTTCCCTTACATTACTGTGTCAGTTATTCTTCCTGGTCCAAAGTGAGTAAAACTTAAACTAAAACTAGCAACACAGCTAATCCTTTTTCTTTGCAGTCAAGTCAATGAGACAAAAAAAAGATATTACCTTGACAGTTATGGCCCTTGAATATGTCTATATATATATATATATATACATATATGTCTATATATATATCAGGTGACTTCTACAAAAACAAATCCCATATGAATTGCAACTCAATGAATTAATTAATAGACAGAGACATTCATACGTAGCCATCAGGTACAGGTAAAACCTTTCATACAATATGGTTACATGCGAGTGATGATTTAATATATATACTGAATTATGTTTCTGCAGTGTTTAAATTTATGTCTAGCTTCATTAAGAAAACCCAGTATTGTGTTTAGAAATTTCTAAGCCTACTTCATGGCAGCTGAGTTTGATAAGCATACTTTATGGGAGTCGAATTTTCTAAGCCTACTTCATGGCAGCCGAGTTTTCTAAGCCTACTTTATGGCAGCTGAGTTTTATAAGCATACATTATGGTAGCTTATACAGTACAGCTAATAAATATAGTAAACCTAATACAGTACAAGAAAGCACAAAGTCATTCTGCTAGATCTAGAGTGAAAGATCCAAGCAGATTAGCATAAAAACATAATTTTCAAATACTATATTCTCTCAATCCATTCCAGAGATTTAAAAAAAAAAAACATTCTGTCTAGATGACCATGAGATAAATGTAACTTACATTAGGTATACTTTGCACCCAGTAGCATAGTTTTTTAGAGACTTTCAGACTTTGATAGGCATACCTTTGTTTTTTCTAAACATTGTTGTCTCTCATTAGCTTCAGCTACACAAGCTTTGTAAGTTGTTTCAGCTTCTTTAGCCTTCTGAAGGGTATCATCTTCAAGTCGCCGTTTTTTGTCTACTTTGCTTGAAGACTCGCTGTTCTCACAATTTTCAGCCTTGTCTGCAGAATCTTTGGCCTTTTCATAATCTTGCTGTCTTTGAACATACAGTGCTCTGGCTTTTCGAAGATTTGAAACTGTTTCCTCCTCCATAACAAAATATGAAAACAAATAATTTATACAAAGACTGCTTGGTCATACACATACTCTTTACTGCATGTCTTGTTGCCAAATAATAACAAAAAATATTTTCTGCATTTTTTTATTCAATTACATATCTTTACATGAAAAAGTTTAGCTTGAATAGTATGAATAAGAAACTTTAACTTGCTACTTTACATAGACTGTATTTTTATTATTTAATTGTTACTACTTTCACTGCAGTTTCATTTCACAAAAAAAATAAACACTTTAGACTGACAAACCAAGTTGCAAATACTTTAAAAACATTTCATAAGAAAACTGCTTGTGTTTATAAAAATGTACTGCAGAGATTGATGGTATGATAATTAGAATTCAAAGTTTAAGTAAATTGTTGATATAAGTCACAGAACTTTATAAAACAATAGTAAAGTTTTCGTTTAGCTATAGACTTCAATCACAAGTTGTTTATAAATATTAATGTACTACAATGTTTAATAATGAATAAATGATTTAGCCTTAATCTTTTTTTTTACATTATCAGTTTGTCTTCTGTTTTTCAAATGAAGAAAATTAACTCCAACAGAGATTTTTTTTTCAAGAACATTAAGAAACATCGGTTTACTATCACTTGTACTTCAAGTTTGAAAAATTAATCTCCACAAGTATGTGTGATATCAAAATGCATATTTTATTAACTGGTTGGTAACATACCATTTTCTTGAGTTCTCGATGCCACCTGTCTTTGATTTGTTTTCTTGCTTTTTCATATTCAACCCTTCTTGCAGACAATGGCTATAAACCAGTCAAAAACATTATTTGTGATGTTTGAAAACAAGTTATAGACAGAAGTTACAATGTTTGAAAACAAGTTATAGACAGAAGTTACAGCTCCAATATACAAAAACTATTTATAAACACAGATCACAATTTATAGAAGCAAGTCAAAAAATAGAAGTTACAATGTTTAAAATCAAGTTATAAACAGAATTTACTGTTAGAATGTACTAAAACATGTTATAAACACATGCTCAAGTTTCATTGTAGAATCAGACAGTCAGAGTTAATGACAGTTTATAACAACAATGTTCTAGATATACTAAAACATGTTATAAACACAAGCTCAAGTTTCATTGTAGAATCAAACAGTCAGAGTTAATGACAGTTTATAACAACAATGTTCTAGATATACTAAAACATGTTATAAACACTAGCTCAAATTTCATTGTAGAATCAGTCAGTCAGAGTTAATGACATTTTATAATGACAGTTTATGACAACAATGTTGTTATTGGAATTACTGCTTCAATTATCACTTATGCTCAGTCTCATAACCATGGTTACATGTTATAGCCCAACACTGACATGTTCACTGTAACAAGCTTCTTTTAAAGATAGCAAATTCATTGTTAGACCATACACATCTTGACAAACATTCTAATTCTACGATTGAAAAAAATCAAACAAAGGCATAAAACTTCATTGGAGCTGTTAGAACTTGATGGACATATGGGTTTTAAGACCAAATTCCAGATTCTTCAGCCATCTTTCGTACGACAACACCAACTTTGAGGTGTGCTGGAAGCTTGTAAGTTTCATCTATTTAAAATCTCTGTTTATTATGTTGTTCACGGTATCTGGAGATATACCCAGCTTGATTTCAATGGCTGTTTTTGTATTAAAAGGTTTTGTTTTTTTTAAACATAAAGAATTTGCTCTGGATTAGTTTGGTGGTTTCAGAACTTATCACTGTTTTGAGAGTTTTTTATCCATTTCCACGAAGAATATTGGAGTTTCTCTTCTTGAAAATATTGTGTCATTTGGCTCTGCTTCATTTAACTTTCTCACTATAAGAACACTCTTCTTCAGAAAATGCTGCAACAAGTGCCTCCAACCATAAGCATAACATAGTTGCATTGCACTGTCCAATGGTCCATGATAGGTCTCTATATTACTATTAACCCATTGGTACATCTCCAGCAGTTGAATGTGAGTGTGCTTTACATGGTGTACAGCTTGCTAAAATTCATTTATAGCAGCCACGGTCAAAGGTTCAGAAATCTTACTTATAAACCCTCTGTAGAAACAAGTTACTTATAAACAGGAGTTAAACCGTATTATAACCTGGGGGAAACAATGTTAATAGAAAGATATTTGTCGAGTCACTTAAAAAGTCCACTGGCTGAAAACAAATTGTATGATCACACACATACATAACTGCCACAACTATGCAAGCTTGTATCAGACATTCATGTAAAACTTTGTATGATCACACACATACATAACTGCCACAACTATGCAAGCTTGTATCAGACATTCATGTAAAACTTTGTATGATCACACACATACATAACTGCCACAACTATGCAAGCTTGTATCAGACATTCATGTAAATCTTTTTACATGGATTTGCTTAATGAGTTTAGATTTGACTTTTAGGTGCTTGTTGGATTTTTCCTTTGGTGGTTTATTTTTTATTCTTACCAACAAAATCTGGAACATCGAAGAGTGAAAGTGTGGTGTTATCAGTTTTAATATGTAACGTAAAACTGGTCGAGATTGAAAATATTTGAATGTTGATTGAAGTCATACATTTGGGGGTAAAAAAAGTCCCAGGTAGCTCAGTGGAAAGTCCGATAGCTTATAACGCTAAAAATCGGGGTTTGATCCCTGCTGCTGGCATAACACAGATAGCCTATTTATCATGTAGTTATGTGCTTAACAACAGACAGACAGAAACAAATGGGGTAGAACTAAACTTTAAAGAAAAACAAAGATAAGAGAACTACCCTTCAAACTAAAGAAATAATTTAAACTTCAGACTAAAGAAATAATTTTAAAAAAAGTTGTGCAGAGAGCATAACAAGTTACACTTACCTCGATGAACTTATGAGTGTGTAGCAGTTCATAGTTTTCATAGAGGGAGCTAGCATATTCCAGATCCTGATCAGAGAGCATAACAAGTTACACTTACCTCAATGAACTTATGAGTGTGTAGCAGTTCATAGTTTTCATAGAGGGAGCTAGCATATTCCAGATCCTGATCAGAGAGTATAACAAGTTACACTTACCTCGATGAACTTATGAGTGTGTAGCAGTTCATAGTTTTCATAGAGGGAGCTAGCATATTCCAGATCCTGATCAGAGAGTATAACAAGTTACACTTACCTCGATGAACTTATGAGTGTGTAGCAGTTCATAGTTTTCATAGAGGGAGCTAGCATATTCCAGATCCTGATCAAGAGCTGTACAGTAAATGGACTGGAAGGGTAAGTAGCTCTGAAAAACAAACTCATTACGTGAGGTGTTTGGAAATCTATCGTAAACTGAAGTTCACATTTAGAATTTTTATTAAGGATACTTTAGGAAAACAGAATTTGATATAATAGTAGATTTCTCTACTGTAAAATAAGTCTGTAAGGCATTTTAATTTCAACATCAGATTAGTTTAGGATCTAGAGCAGTGTTTCTCAGCCAGACTTGCCGGATGACCCCTGCATCCAGCCTTGGTCATTGTGAACCTCCATTATCTGTACAAGGATGAAAAAATTCTTAATGTTTCTTGGCACAGTTCGTAATAGTTCATAACAAAGGTGATATGGGAACCTCTAATACACCTCTTACAGTTCATGACAAAGGTTATATGGGAACCTCTAATACACCTCTTACAGTTCATAACAAAGGTTATATGTGAGCCTCT